AGTGGCTGGTAGTTTTGAACTGCTGATCTTGAGGTTAGCAGTCCGACTGGTAACCACTACTCTACCAGAGTTCCTTCTTAGGTACCCTCTAGTGAATCTCAACTCACAGTGGCCCTATGGACAACAGAGCAAAATACTGCTCCATCCTGCGCAACCCTACCAGTCATTATGTTCGAGAACAATGTTGAAACCATTGTGTCAATTCATCTTATTGATGGTTTTCCCTTTTTTTCTGACTACTTGACCTCTCTACTTGACCAAGCATGATGTCCTTCCCCGGGGACGGGTGCCTCCTGATAACATGTCCAAAGCACACAGACAAATTCCTGCCATCATCTGGATCAAGCATTCTGGTTGTACTTCTTCCAACACAGACCTGTTCATTCTCCTGGCAATTGATGGCATATTAAATATTCTTCACCAACACCATAGTTCATGTGACTCTGTTCTTCTTTGGTCTTTTTTATTCATGGTCGGATTCTGCTGCATGCAAGGCAATTAAAAACACCATGGCTTGGATCAGGTGCACTTTCGTCCTCAAAGTGAGCAGTAAACAATGCCATGATCAACGGAGAAAAGATTGACACGCAGCAAACTTGCCCATGGAATATATGTTGTTAAGTGCCATTGAGTTGGTCCTGACTCATCGGAGGAGCAGCTGGTGAACTTGAATTGCCGACCTTGAGGTTCAAACCAACCTTACAGTCCACTGCATTTGATTTTTTTTGATTACTGCTTCCATGGGCATTGATTGTGGCTCCAAGTAAAAGAATAGCCTTGACAACTTCAGCCTTTTATCCATTTATCACGATGTTGCTTACTGCTCACTTGTGAACATTTATTTTTCTTTATGCTGAGGTGTAATACACACTGAATGCTATATTTTCATCTTTGCTTTCCTACAAATCAGAGATGGGTTACCTCCTGTGCATGCAAAACGAAGGGGAACTTACTGAGACAGAAAAATTTAAATTTTACTTACTTCTGTTGTGATGATGATTTTCAATAAACTAAAGGTGGTTCACAGTCCTGGGGTGGCACTGTAGGCTCAGCACTGGACTGCTAACTACAATGTTAGCGGTTCAAACCCACCAGGCACTACTTCAGAAACCTTATGCAGGGTTGCTGTGAGTCGGAACCAACTCAACCACACTTAACAACATATACATGCGTATATAATGAACAACAGATGACAGCCTGGGAAACCCATGGAACAGTTGTACTTTGTCACACGGGGGCGCTGTGAGTGGATGATCTATAAGAGTATATACGAGTATATTGTGACACAAATGATGACAGCCTAGGAAACCCTGTGGGCAGTTCTACTCTGTTACACCAGGGGGCGCTGTGAGTGGATGATGCATAAAGTGTTGAAGAACAAAGATGTCAGCTTGAAGACTAAGGTGCGCCTGACCTAAACCATGCTATTTTCAATAACCTCATATGGATGCAAAAGCTGGACAGTGAATAAGGGAGACTGTAGAAGAATTGATGCTTTTGAATTATGGTGTTAGAGGAGAATATTGAAAGTACCATGGGCTGCCAAAAGAACCAATAGATTTGTTTTGCAAGAAGTGCAGCCAGAGTGTTCCTTGGGGGCAAAGATGACGAAACTTCGTCTATCATACTTTGGACATACTGTCAGGAGGGAGCAGTCACTGGAGAAGGATATCATGTTTGGTAAGGTGGAGGGTCAGAGAAAAAGAGGAAGACCCCCCAAAGAGATGGATTGGCCAGGTGGCAGCATTGATGGAATCAAGCGTGGTAACAGTAGTGAGGTTGGCTCAGGATCGGGCAGTGTTTCGTTCTGCTGTACATAGGGTCGCCGTGAGTCAGTACTGACTCGATGGCACCTAACAACAACAAAAACAAATATAAGTATATAGTGACACAGTAGATGGCAGCCTGGGAAACCCTGTGGGCAGTTCTCCTCTGTCACATGGGGACACTGTGAGTTGATAATATATGAGTATATCGTGACACAATAGGGAACATTTTGGAAAACTCTATGGGGCAGTTCTACTGTGGCACAGAGGGACAATGCGAGTCACAATTGACTTACCTGCATACAACAAAAGGTGGTCAGATGATCCCTGGTAGCACAACCATTAAGCACTCAGGTGCTAACTGAAAGGTTATGAAGATTAGAGTTTAGAAGCCCTCTGGGTTAGCAGCCCTGGTCTGTCCCCTTGGGTCTCTGTGAATCTACATAGACTGAACGGCAATGGGCTTTTGGTATCTTAGTTTTTTTTCTTTAAGTCCCAGATATTGTTGCTCTAAATTAGAAATGTGACTGTGTGGTTGTGCGTTTTCTAATTGTGAAAGTGTTCCTATTTGTCATTTCATATTTATTGAAAATGTAAGTGCCACATTTAACAAAATAGCAACAAGTCTTTGCCCTAGTCTGGCACGCTAATTTCACTAATCATGATCATCGATGCTTGTTAGTGTTAGGAATATTTAATTTAATAACAGGCTGGAATAAATTTGTTGTGATTAGATGATAAGGGAATTAAGAAAATAACTTCATCTGCAATCTTTAAAACTGTCTGGATGTTAGATTGGATGAAACAGTACCGGGTGACCATGGGATGAAGGTGGATTGTACTTTTGCAAGGATTAGCATGTAGGTGTGCCTGCACTGTAGCACAGGAGACTGGAGAGGGAGGAAAAACAAGAGTCCTCAGGCACAAAAGCAAGTACTCAGCTGGTAACTGAAAGGTTCCAACCCACCACTGACTCTGCAGGAGAAAAGAATTGGCAAACTTGTTCCCATAAAGATGACAGCCTAGGAAACCCGGTGGGGCAGTTCTCCTCCGTTACGCCAGAGGGCGCTGTGAGTGGATGATCTATAAGAGTATATATGAGTATATAGTGACACAATAGATGACAGCCTAGGAACCCTGTGGGGCAGTTCTACTGTTACACAAGGGGGCGCTGTGAGTGGATGATCTATAAGAGTATATATGAGTATATAGTGACACAATAGATGACAGCCTAGGAACCCTGTGGGGCAGTTCTACTGTTACACAAGGGGGCTCTGTGAGTGGATGATATATAAGAGTATATATGAGCACTGGTAGCGTAGTGGTTACGAATCGGGCTGCGAACCTTAAGGTCAGCGGTTCGAAACTACCAGCTGCTCCACGGGAGAAAGATGAGGCTTTCTACTCCCGTAAAGATTTACACCCTCGGAAACCCTATACAGGGTCGCTATGGGTCGGAACCGACTCGATGGCACATAACAACAACAACATGAGTATATAGTGACACAATAGACGACAGCCTAGGAAACCCTGTGGGGCAGTTCTACTGTGTCACAGGGGGGGCCGCTCTTAGTTGGAATCAGCTCATCAGCATACAATAACATTTTTTCTGGGACTTCCTATGTTTGAGTCACTTGTGTGCCCATTTTCTCACTTGGGCTCCACAGGAAAACTGCTCCCCTCTTTTAAATAGGAGGAACCCTAGCCTCAGAGAGGTGGACCTGCCAAAGATGACAGAGGTGCAGCCCAGCTCTATGATTTCCATTCAAATGCATGTTGTTATTAAGTGCCCTCATTCAGTTCTCACTCATAGCAACTCTGTGTAGAGATTGAAGGGTTTGCACCACAGACCTTGTGGTTAGTAGTCCAGTGCTTATCTCACAGCTCCACACAGGTCAGTTGTTCCCAAATCACATCTACACAGACACACAGACCCCTGTGGCTATAACCTTTGTCAAAAGGGATTTTTGGTCACTGGGAAAATGTCAGGGAGTTACTTCGTAGTTAGGGATGGTGGGAGTGGGTTTGGGGCCCAATTCCCTCTCTCTTTCTTGCTCTTCAAGGATCCCTGGTGGTGTAGTGAGTTAAGCACTGGGCTGCTAACCGAACTCACTAGCAGCTCTGAGGGAGGAGGATGAGGCTGCCTGCTCCGTTAGAATTTACAGTCTTGGAAAACCTAAGGTTTGGAAACCTTTCTAGGGCTGCTCTGAGTCAGAGTCTGCTCCACGCAGAGGGCGTGCTTTTCGGGTTTCATTCCTCCCCCCTCCCTTCTTCCTGTCACATGTGCATAATGTTCATATGTGCGACTCGGGGACCGTAGTCCCAGCAGCTCTTGTCACAACTTCCCACAGATCAATGATGTGCTCATTTATTTGTAAAACAGCTACGCCAGAATAATAAAGATGAGTGAGATTTCCTCAAAGTGAAACTTTATGGGGTTTTGTGATTGTAGAACAACCAGCAACTGTTGTTTGAAGTTTTCTGGACTTTTACCAGATTTAACTGAAAAACAAATCATCAGGTGGAAATTGTTCAAAGATACCACCCATAAATCCACTTTGCTTTCCGGGAAGCCTTCCTTAAAAGAGGGGCTGGAGGAAGGACCATCCCTGTTCTGCTGGGTCGGGTAGTCCCTATGCGGGTCTCTTACCTAAAGACCACCAGGAAGCCCCAACATGAGCCCCTCTCTCTGACTTACTTGGTTCTGTCCACCGCGTCCTCTCTCCTGACCTGCCCTAGCGATGCCCACTTCCAGGTTTCCTGGGTGCTCGCGGGAGCCGCGGAGAGAGCAGCTTTCCCTGGGGCTGGGCAGAGCGTCGGCTTAGCTCCGGAGGAAGTTACCCCTCCGGTTCCTTCTTCTTCTCCCCGGAGTGCGCGTGGATGAGCGAGACAGCGGCACCGTGAGAACTTCAGGGCTACTGGGTCGTTTCCTGCGGCTCCTGGAACGGTACAGTTGGGACCCGTGCGCTTCTGCCCACAACTGTGCCCGCACCTCGCCCGGCTCGCCCCCTCCCGGCCCGCTGGGCCCGCGCGCCCCCCTCTCTGGCCGGGTAATGATTGCCCGCGGG